AGGGGATCTATTTGAGTCAGTCCCATGATATGTCTCCTAAGGACAGTCTCATAGCAAGGCTGTAAGTTTAGTTTACTGTAAATGTAGTTTCCTTCTTCCATTCCAGTTAAAATGAAACATTAACCTTATTAGATTTAGTAAACTCAGGGACCTTATATCCTAATAGGGGTAGCACAATAAACATAATAAATAGGTAAATTACATTATATGTTAGAAGATGGACACTACTTTGTGTGGGAGTAAATAAGATCAGGATGGGGGAAAATATGGAGAGCATGTTGTAGTATTGAATAGGAGGGCAATGAGGTGGGTCTCATTGAGAAGGTCAGAGACTTGAAGTGGGTGAAGGAGTTGATCAGATGAATATCTGAGGGAAGAGCAGTCCAGCAGAAGAGAATGGGTAGTGTCCAGACCTAAGGGAGGCGCACGCATGCCTTCTTAAAAGCAACGCACCATTGTAGTTGAGGGGACCAAGCAGGGGAGAGATACCAGATGAAGTCAGAGGGATTCCAAGTATTTTGTTGGTGATGATGAAATGAACTTGTTTACATAAAGCACTTAGCACAGGGTCTAGCCCAGAGTTGTGGAGCCCCTGCCCACCTCTTCCAGCCACCTCTTCTTCCTCTCCTTGCTGCTCCCCCTTGCAAACTCCACCCTGCATTTATAACCAAAAGCTCTTTGAAGATTCCCCAAATCTCCATGCTGTTTTAAACTTTCTACTTTTGCACACACCTAAAATACCCTTCTCCATCCCTTGTCATTCTGATAAACTCCTTCAAGACCCACCCTGGGCTCTCCTCTGGGAAGACTTCTTTGACTCCCTCTGAGGCAGAGGTCATGCTTCCTTCTCTGGACCACCGTGCACAGTGCTTTGAATATGTGTTTGTTACAATAACACGTAGCTAATGAGAACTGACTTACTATGTGCCATGCAAGAAGTCTTTTACATCTTTTTAATTTATTCCTCACCACAACCCTATAAGGTATGGCCTATTGTCATCCCCACCTTATTTATTTATTTATTTGTAAAGAATTTATTTGTAAGGAAGATTGTTGCTGAGCTAATATCTGTGCCAATCCTCCTCAATTTTTTTATGTGGGTTGCTGCCACAGCATGGCTTGATGAGCAGTGCTAGGTCCACGCCTGGGATCTCAACCCTGCGAACCCTGGACCACTGAAGCAGTGCACATGAACCCAACCACTATGCCACAGGGCTGGCCGCATGTCATCCCCATTTTATAGATGAATAAATAAAGACATGAAGAAATTTAGTAATGTGTCTAAGATCATCCAGCTGCTAAGTGGTGGCACCAGGAGTTGAACACAAGGTTTCTGGCTCCAGAGCCCATGCCTTTCTTAATCATTACGTTATTACACAACATGTACATTATGTGTATGCATCACACTGTGTTGCAGGTGTTAGTTTGTGTGCACGTCCTCCATACTGTTTGTGACTACTTGGAGAGCAGGGAACCGTGTCAAATTTCCCTTTGCTCTTTGGGGTTTGGCGCATGTGCTCCCTTGGTGGAATGGTGAGAAGAAAATATTCTCTCATGTAATTTGTAAGACATGGGAATTAATATTCAAAATGTTAATGATAGTGTGTCATTAGTTCTGAATTTTGTTTGGTTTCGGATTTCATTTTGATCATGTCATTGTGCTTCTGCTTCTCCCCAGACCAGTATTAAAGAGGGACAGCTGTTGAAGCAAACCAGTTCTTTCCAAAGGTGGAAGAAGCGATACTTCAAACTTCGAGGCCGCACACTCTATTATGCAAAGGACTCAAAGGTAATTCGAGAGAATCCTAGTTGTACGCACTTGAGCTTGTGGATGTTCTTTAAGCTGTTTTGGTCTTGGTGCTCGCTATAGCCTTACTGCTCCTCTGTGAATTCAGTATAAATGTGATCCATGTTGGACCAAATCCCAGGGTGTTCTATTTTAGTCCGTTTTGTGCCATGTTCCCTAAGGATAATCTTATAGGAAGGTTTTAGTATAATTTGCTTTCTTTCTCTTTTCCTTCCAATTGAAATGAAGCATTAAGTGTAAGTTTATTAGATATAATAAACTCAAAATTTGGGGTTTACCCGCCTTTCTTGCTACTTTTTACCTGATAGATGTTGCTCTGACTATGAGAGAGAGAATTGCTGTAGTTGCTAAGAATTCATGCTCTGGTTTCAGACAGAAGTTCATATTCCAGTTCCAGCACATTCTGGTGGAGTGGTGTGGACTGCAGGTGTTGATGAGAGGAGGCTTAAGTGAGAAAATGCCCATGAAGCACTTAAATAATGCCTAATACAAAATAATCACTCAGTTATGCTAGCGGATAAGAATAAAAATCGTAGTGAAATAAAATCAAGGCTCTAAATAATTTTTATATAACAGTTGAATAAGAAGAAAATGATGTAGTTTTGAGAGAAAAATTTTGTAATGATGAGGTTCCATTTAAAACTGATGTTTTAATATTCCTTTAAAAATAAACATTGAAATTTCTTACTACTGTGCCAGTTGAATAGATAATTTCCATATTTAAAAATCTATGTTCCTCATATAACTATTATGGTTATATGCCAAGAGGTAAAAACAAATAAACAAACAAACCTAATTCTTAGTTTATGCAGCTGTAGAAGTAATAACCAAATAAAATAATCATATTTTAAAAACCATTATGTTCAAGATTGTCCCTGATCTGGCTCCATCCTGACTTTTCACATTTATCTCCAGATAGCGCTGACCACTTGATCGCCTTCAGCCTTACCCCATGTTTCCCATCTCCAGGATGACTTTCTCTCTATCTCCACTTGAAGAAATTCCCTGTTTTCTTTAAGATCCCCCTCAGATAGTCTTTACTCCATCATTCACAAGAGAAAGAGTTTAAGTGTATTCTGCTGGAGAAATTATCTGTGACCTTCCGGAGCATTTCGTAGTATCTCTTCTCTTCCACCTTTAATAGTCTGTCTTACATTAAAATTAGTTGTGTCTACTTCATTTCCTGTGCTAGATTATAAGTTCTTTCTAGTCAGGGAACAAGTCATATAGTCAGATTGGTTGGATTGAAACAGAGTTTTATAAACCCTGGAGATCTTGGGGGAAGTGGAAGCTATCAGAGATGGGGGTCCCCTATTCTGTAGTTCTAAGGTGCATTTTTATCCCTGCTTTGCTACAAGAGCATTGAATGAGTGTGAACAATGACCAACTCACTAAAAGTGGGAAGGATACATTTATTGACTAGAATTTTCTAATCTCTAAATTGTTCACTTTTAAAGATTCCATTTCTATGGAGTTTTGACTACTAAAACTTTTTTTATTAAAACCGCTTTTAAGAGCACAAAAGAAACATAATCTTATGTTTGCCAAGCACATTTATCATCTCATTTGAACATATTCATAGATGAGGAAAATAAGGTTCAGAAAGTTCAGAAACTCGCCATGATCTGAGCCAGGACTAGTTTTTCTCATTTCTCACTTAGCAAATGTGGAAACAATGATGTTGCCTTTGCCTTCCTGGCAAAGATGTTACAGGGTTAGAGATATTGTGGGGGATGTGCGTGTATATGTGTGTATGTCACACACTTACGAGGTTCCCCATAGTTTATGCTTCTAGAGAGCCCAGAGCATTTTGCATTGAAGCAGTGTGCCAGGGGCTTCTTTAAAGCCCTTTTCAGCTTGGGATTTATGTGTTAGCTGTACTCTATGGTTTTACTCAGAGAATATCACTGACTTAAGTTTTTTTCGTTTTCTATTCCTAAATCCTGACATAGCTTCACAGTCATGACCTGATAGTAAAAAAAAAGCTATTGAGGAGCACTGAGTTAGGTTTTCATTTAATTTGTTTGTGTTCTTTTTCATTAACAGTCTCTGATATTTGATGAAGTTGACCTCTCCGATGCCAGTGTAGCTGAAGCAAGCACAAAAAATGCTAACAACAGCTTCACGGTACGGTTACATTCTGCTAACTCCCTGCTCAAAAGTTACTGAAGGAGCTTTCCTGAGCATGAACAGAAGGCCATCTTGTTACCAACTGTGTGCCAACTTATGTGTGTTGGGGTTCTTGCTAACACAGTAAACTTGCTAAGTGCATTATATTCTCCAACACCCAACACTATTCCTGATTGTTTGGGTCGATAAACCAATAATGTACTAAATGTATTTTTTGGAAAATATTTATGTTTTTTCCTTTCTAGAACTTTCAATTTTAATGCTTTAAGTTTTTCCTCTCTTTTAAATTTAATACTTTAACTAATTCCATTGTTCTTGAATATTCAAAAAGTTTGTTTTTTACTTTCAATCTTAAAATACTATTTTCTCCTGCGCTTCTGCTTTCACTCTGTTGCTGTAGTTCAGGCCTTCATTTCTTCTCAGTTAGGTAATCCATTTGGTAACTATTTAAGAGGTGTCCTCTGTTCCAGTTAGTTTTTTTCCAATTGCAAATCCCATTGCTTAAAAGACCTTTCTGGCTCCCTGTTGCCTGTCAACTTACATCTGTGACTCCATCTTAGAGTCTTGTGAAATCATGCCCCAGTGTTCTAGTGTTACTTATAATTATTTGTCCTTGTATACCTCACTCGTCAGTTTCTGTCTGTGCCTGTGCTTGTCCCATTCCTTCTGACTTGAATGACTCCTCTTCCAGCTAAAGCTGTTGAAATTCTACCAATTCTTTAAAGCTTATCTCAGATATATCATTCTTCTTCTACTTCTTTCATTCAAAAAAATATGAATTGAGTATCCACTATGTACCAGGTACTTGTGCTAAGCACAAAAGATTCAAAGATGAATAAATTGTATATATCACCTCCCTCAAGATACTCACAGTACAGTTCAGTGAAGTTCATCTGGGGTACTTTTTTTTTTTTAAAAAGATTTTATTTTTTTCCTTTTTCTCCCCAAAGCCCCCCGGTACATAGTTATATATTCTTCATTGTGGGTCCTTCTAGTTGTGGCATATGGGACGCTGCCTCAGCATGGTTTGATGAGCAGTGCCATGTCCGCACCCAGGATTGGAACCAACGAAACACTGGGCTGCCTGCAGCGGAGCGCGCGAACTTAACCACTTGGCCATAGGGCCAGCCCCCTGGGGTACTTTTTATAACTACATGTTCTCGGTCCTCTAAGATGCATAGCTCTTGCTGTGTTGTTGCCCCCATCTACACTCCCAGTCCCTACTCTAGGAAGCCACCACCGTTGACAGTCGTGTCCATCTTGCAGGCGTGCCAGGGCAGGGAAGACATACAGATAAACAAATACAGAGCAGTGCCATGACAGAGAGAAGCACTGGTAGGGGTTAGGGTGGGAGAGGAAGCAAATGAATTCAGATTTAGTCTTAGTGAGGTATGGACATGTGGGACGGTTCATGGGGTAAATATTCCTCCCCCTCCCCACTCCCCAGGGAGAGTTTAGTTCAAGGAGAAGAAAGCCAAGAATAGAATCCTGGGAAAATGTTAAAATTTAAGGTTTGACCAGTGAAGACTGAGAGAGAGCATTCTGAAGTATGGAAGGAGCATCAGGAGGCAGTGAAGTTATGAAAAGCCAGTGGAAGAGAGTTTCAAGACGGAAGTTGTTAAACATCAAATACTGTAGAGAGGTCAAGTCAAAGAAGAAATGAAAAGCGTGTGTTGAATTTGTTAACTTTGGTCACATTGCTATGTGTAGTTTCAGTGGCGAGGTGACATGTATTAGGCTGCCGTGCGAATGCAAGGGGGAAAGGCAGAGAAGCCAGGGTAGATTACTTTCCTAAAAGCTTGATGGTTAAAAGAAGAACAAGTATGGTGAGACGAATGTTCAGCCTGGAAGAGAGAGCTGTGGTTTTTTTGTTGTTGCTCTTTTGCTTTGTTTTTAAAATGGGTTTTGAGTGTGTCTATATGAAGAGAGGAAAGGTTTGTTAGAATCAAAAGTTGAAGCTTCAGGAGAGAGGGAATAATTGATGGAGCATGATTGCTGAGTAAGCTGAAGGGCACAGGAACCAGAGAACAGGTTAAGAGATTCACCTTGAACAGGAGACAGAAAGCTTATGGAAGTAGATGTGGGCAGGAAGTTCATATATTTCAAACCCAAATACTACTATTTTCTCCATGAAATTGAAGACAGGGTTATCTGCTATGAGTAAGAGTTTAGGTGAGTTTGAAGTGGCTTCTATAGAAAATGAGAATTGAAACTGAACAGGTACCTGCAGAAAATTACTAGGTAGTAAATAGTGTCTACCAAATATTAGAGATCAAGTTGAATAATGTTCTTAATTCCTATGCCTATAGCATTTTGTTTACTATGGGGGTAAATAACCACAGCTGAATTGATCCAGGGTTGATGGTTTATAGGGCATATTAGACAGAAATATAAAAGGATTGCTGGATGTTTTAGGATCAATAACTTATCCATCTTTCTTCTCTGAGTTCTCAGTTTTTGAGAATGAAACACAAGCAGTAAGGGACAGCTTTATTAATGGCTGAACAGGATGCAGTAACCACTAAAAACAGAGCTTCTGATAAATTGTTGGAGGCTTAAGGCCAAAATCTTGCTTATTATTATTTCCTCCCAAGTAAAGGTGGGGTAGGGAGTGAACAATAGTCCTCTCCCCTCTAGGGAGACTGATGGAAGTGGGGGGAATAAAGGTTTACCCCAACAGGGATCTAGAGTGTAGTCTGAAAGAGGGTTCCAAAATTCCAGATTTGAAGGATGGAACAATTTGAGGTGAAGACAAGGTCTAGGGCATTGGAGTAGATAAAGATAAAGGGAACTGACAAGCTTGGGTGTGGGAGAGGTTATTCAAATCCTTTGTACAGCTCTTTCTTGGACCTCCAACTGCGTGCAATCTCTCTTGTACCTTTCTTATGGAAAGTACGATATTCTGCCCATTTAGTTAGGTACTTATGTTTATTATAACCTCCTTGAGAGCAGAGACTCTGTCATATCTTTTTAACCTCATAGTACCTTATACATAAGTATTTGTTGATTTAGTTAGTAAGATGAAAGTTTATTTTAGACATGAGAAAACTTTTTGTTGGAATATTTTCAAGAAATTTCTTCACTCAACTCAACATTATTTTTGAAGTTTTTTGGACTAAAGAATGAGGAGACTAAAATAAGAGATATGTTTTCAATCAGTAATTGACAATCCTCCCTATGTTTAAATATTTAAATATCCCGCCTTCCTGGATTGAGTGACTGCTACCGATGCTGTTATTCTGGCTAGTTCACGTCAGAGGTTAATGGAGTAGTTTGGTGGTGTTACAGCTGGAGAATTCAGGAATGATCAAATTCTGCTTCACTACAGGCACTCCTCCTCTCCTTGAAGTGTCTAAGGATGATATATTGACAAGGGGCAACAGTAAATGGAAAATCTATAATTAGTACACAGAAAATGGAAAAGCTGTGCTTTGCCCAGAAACCCAATGCCAAACTCTCTAGAGAAACAGGTTCTAGAGTGTGTGTTCTAGAGAGCAGGGCAGAAACTGACTTAACCTGGGAGGTTACTTAGCATCATTTCTACTTCATTCTCTTGGTTGTGAGCAAGTCACCAAGGCTGGCTGAGCTTCAAGGAAAGGGAACACAGACACTATGAGCATCAAAGGATTTGCGGATGTGGGTGAAACCTCCCTACCTGATGATGTCTTTTCCTGTCTTGCACAGGCCTATGTTCCCATTCCTGGAGTTAGTTATAGTCTTGTTTTTCTGATTGTCTTTATCACCTCAGGTGTTGTGTTAATTTTCTATTGCTTCATAACAAATTATTACAAACTTAGTGGCTTAAAACAACATCCATTTATTTTCTCACAGTTTCTGTTGGTTGGACAGCATGACTGGGTTCTTCTGCTCCAAGTCTCACAATGTTGAAATAAATAGATATGATAAATTGAAAAATATATATGTGTGCACATACACATACATATATACTTTTTAATTACCTTAAATCAGACTAATTTTGACCAGGGTTTGTGTTTTTGGTTTTACAAGTGTCTTCTTCAATAGGCAACAACGACGACGACAACAAAACCTACTAACGTTGAAAGCGTTTTCTGTGACATTAAGTGTCAGTGATGTGACCGGGGAATGAAAAGGACAATCCCTGGCAGCGTTATTGGCATTTTATAAGTCTTTAGGCTTAATTAATGTTCATCACAATTTATTCGTAGTTTAAGTTCTACCATGGCATTTTCAATGATTGGAAAATTGAGAATGCGTTCTTAATTTTTTTGTTCACTTTTTAATTGTTCATTTTCTTTATTTTATTGATATCTGTATGGCGTTTTGTTTTCATTTTAACATTTTTATCTTTAACGCACCTCTGTGTTTATGTGAATGTGTTCTTATATTAGAGAGAAAAATTCTCTTCTTCTTATATATGGCGAGAAGAATTATTTCTCCTTGGTTACACTGTGCCCCCCCCAGGAAGGGGATCCCAGACCTCCTGATGTTTAATCCAGGGCTCTTTCTTTTCACACAGTATTCTTTACCTCTGGATAGTTTTTGCCTCCCCTCTCTTTCTTCCCACATCTCCTGCTCCCTGTGTCTCTTTCCCACTGATCACAATATATTCCCCAGCTTTTTTTGATTTATCCAGTTGCAGAGCTTCAACTGTGAAGTCAAACAGCCTGGATTTGGGTCCTGGCTTGGTCGTGTTTGGTTACGTGACCTTGGACAAATTATTCAACCCCTCTGAATCCCAGTGTCCTCACCTGTATTGAGGGTAACAATGGTACCTGCCTCATAGGGTTATGAGGATTGAATTAAATGTGATGATGCCCTAAAATACCTTGCACAGTGATGAGCAGATGGAGTTTAATAAATGTTGGTGGCTATTGTTATTCTGAAGTTATCATCTCTCTATTTCCTTCACAAGTGACAGTATGTTGCCAGTTCTAAAAGTTTGGGAACTTTGAAGGAGAATATGAATGACCTTTATCTTGAGAAAACATTCCATCCTGCCTGTCTTTCAGAGAGGTAGTGAAGATTTATTTCCACTTTTACCTCAGATTAATAAGTGTTATTGGGAAAAGCAACCATTCTGTAATGAATGAAACTACAATCGTACCTTGTTAGGTAAATGGTATTTGCTAAAGAAGAGCCTTTTAATGATTTGAAAGTCATCACAATCACGTGGTACATGTTAGGCTTTCAAAGTGTGCTGTTCAAATGACTCTCTTCTTTAAATTTTAATGAATATTAGGCTAACCCTTAAACAAATGAGTCATTGTTTCAAAGAAATTATTGTACTGTCCTTGTTAAAACTTATTATGGAAGTTTATAAGAAAGTGTGTCTTTTTTTTTTTTAACTAGAGAGAAATACAGAGGTAATTCATTTGGTTTATTTACTCACCCTCAACATTTTTAGGGAGTGGTCTACAAGTGTGTGTGAAATCCCACCGTTTATTACACATCCGTGCTGGTTTATTCAGTCGTACGAAACGCAGATACCACGTGGTATCACTTATTTTTAGAACTAAATAAGCACTGCAACAAAGAGTCATTTTAGTTCATATGTTTAGGGTCACTTGCCGCAGTGGACATGACTGAAAGCTGATTAACGTTAGATTATGATTCTTCTGGTGAGATCTTAAAAAGTAGACATAAAAACAAACCAATAAAGAGAATATACTCTTACAGCACATAAAATGCTGAACATTGTGTATTCATTGTACAATTGAAATGAGCTGGCTGTGTGTTCGTGGGAGGGGAAAAATGTTCCTAAGAACTTATTTCTTTAATGTTTACCTTCTGTTTATTCTGTTTACCTCTTAGCTTCCTCTCTCATAACATAGTTCAGTTCATCCTCTCTCTTAAGAGAGATATCACGTCCTTTAACCCTAAGAAAGTGTCAGTTTACTTTTATCCATGAATATCTCAATGTTTAGTTACAAGGGAAGTAACCAAAAGTTATTTTCTTTTCATGTTATTAGTGAATGCATATCACACAACCCGTATTTAGATAATCACCTAAATAAATAATCACTTAGATAAATGAGTTGCCTACTTTATCTGATAGTATTTATGGTAACTACTATGTGCCTCTTCTAACTGCTTTATGCCTGATAGCTCCTTCAATTCTTTATATTAGTCCTATGAGGTAGATACTGTTATGCTCTCCATTTTATAGTTGAAGAATCTGAAACAGAGATCTTAATATCTAGTGTAAATAGCTAAAATCTGAACCCATCTGGGTTGTCTGACCTCACTGTGTACTCTTGACCACTCTGCTATCCTGCCTCTTTATTGTGGAGTTTTAAATGAGTGTGGTTCAGATAGTATCCCTTTAATTGTATTTTACGTGTTCATTTTTGTGTCTTCTCTTCTCCAGGTCAACCATAGAGCCCTATGTTGTATTACCAGATGTACAGCAAGCACTTGCTGGTTGTGCTACAAATCTAGAATATTACATTTTATTTTGGGCACTACAATTTAAATAGAAATGTTGACTAAAGAGCTCACAGAGGAAGGGAACCAATATTGTAAAAAGATCTTGGAATCACGGCCTTGATTGACCTTAAAGGGCACTTTTTATTTTAAAGATTTGGGGAAATATGACATGTATTTTTAATATTTGAGGAATTACCATGTTTAAGAGACAGTGGACAGGTTTTGTGTTCCTGCAGTGTGCAGGACAAAGATCTGTGGTTGAATTCCTGGGGTAAAATTTCAACTCTGCATGAAAGAGAACTTTCTGACTTGAGTCATCTGATAGAACAGGCCCCTTGTGAGGTAATGGCTCCGCCCATTATTAGAAATCTCTAGTCATCTCAATCCCTGTGAACTGAAAGGAGGCTTCAAGGAGAGACATCTCAGAGCAGAGTCAGGTTCAGAGTGCTGATGTGAATTTCTCAAGGTTGGATGGCTAATAGCTGTGCACAACTAGTAGAGAATTTTGGGCCCTCACTTCTTTGGGTTTCTTGGAAGTAGGCAAGGTGGAGTGGACTTAGAGATTGCTGGTCACTATGCTGGATGCTTTACACACACTGTCTCGGTATTCCACACAGCAAGAGCTAAGTAACCATCCTTCAAGAATGCTGTTGGAGAGATCTCTGCATGGTGTGTGTATGTGGGAGGGGGTGGTGGGGAGATGGTAGAGGCTGAAACTTCCTTGCAAGCACGAAGACTATGTCTTCTTCACTGCTGAATCCCCAAGGCTAACACGGGGCCTAGGACAGAGAGGAAAGACAATAAATATTTGTTGAATGAATGAAGGAATGTGTCTTGTTGAATGAAGGAATGAATGCTATTTGTAAACTCTAGTTTTTCTTTGGGAGAAAAGTGTCATTTGAAGTTTTAGCTTAGAGAACACAGTTTCCTAATTTTCCCCCCATGATGTTGGATTATAATATACCCGTGAATATTTATATCCTTGTTGAAATCTTTATATCATGACTCAGTTTTTTTATTATTTTTTTTATTTTTTTTTTAAAGATTTTATTTTTTCCTTTTTCTCCCCAAAGCTCCCCGGTACACAGCTGTATATTCTTCATTGTGGGTCCTTCTAGTTGTGGCGTGAGGGATGCTGCCTCAGCGTGGTTTGATGAGCAGTGCCATGTCCGTGCCCAGGATTCGAACCAACGAAACACTGGGCCGCCTGCAACGGAGCGCACGAACTTAACCACTCGACCACGGGGCCAGCCCCTCAGTTTTTTTTTTTTGAGGAAGATTAGCCCTGAACTAACTACTGCCAATCCTCCTCTTTTTGCTGAGGAAGACTGGCCCTGAGCTAACATCCGTGGCCATTTTCCTCTACTTTACATGTAGGATGCCTACCACAGCATGGCTTTTGCCAAGCGGTGCCATGTCTGCACCTGGGATCTGAACCGGCAACCCCGGGCTGCTGGGAAGCAGAACATGTGCACTTAACTGCTGCGCCACCGGGCTGGCCCCCTCAGATAGTTTTTATACCAACAATAAGCCTTACAAATATGATTCTTGCTTAGGGTTAATCATTGCAGTGGTCCCACGTAATTATTAGATACTTGATACTGGCAAACCTCATATTTTTTATTTATATGTTGGTTAAAATATTTTATAGCACTCTAAAATGATACCACATTAATGAAGTTTGAGTGGTTGTTTTGCCTTTTAAAATTGATTTATATGTAGATTAGATGTTTTTATATGAAAACTGATAACTTATAAGTTAAGTTTGAAATTTGTATTCTTTTTTTCTATAACTTAGACATCAGGCTTTTAGAAATGAAATAGCTTCTCATTGTTTTTGTGGGTATATCATTTTTTTTTCTTTTCATGTACGGATATAGCATCTTTTCCAAGAATATAACCAAGAGAAATACTTCTTAAAGTTATTTTGGGCTTCCTCAGAGCAAAGTCCTGGGAGATAAGAAGCCATTGGTCCTTGTGTAGCTAGACTGAAGTCTTGGAGTGGAAATAAGCTGTAGGTGGAAGAGCTGTGCCTTTGCCTCCACCTTCGCTTGTGCTCTTCCATGAACCTTTCCAATAGATTTCCTCAAGTCTCACCTTCACTAGTGACCTTCCCATAAGTCTTTCAAAGGGACTTTCTAAAGTAAGTCAAGAACCAGTGAGCATGTCCTTGAGTATTCTGGCAACTCTGGAGCTCTGGGAACCTGGGGCTTGCTTGCATAATCAGACCATGGGAGGAACAGCGCATAGATAGTTTCATCAAAGGATCTGTCATGGTGTGAATATTCACTATCGGTAGATTGGGAGTGACAGCTCATCATCTCAGAACCGTGTCCCTGGAGATCCAAGCAGGGTACCATGTTAAGTTGCTCTGCTTGGCATTAGCACTTTCCCCTTGCCCTGTCCTGGCGTTGCTGAAGATCCACGACTCGGCGAGAACATGGCACTTCTGGTCAGTGACCTGCAACCTGCTGCTTCCAGTACTTTTTCTACCTGCCTACGCTGTTGCACAGCAGCCCAGACTCCACCTCATGCCCTACTTCCAGAACCTTCCCTGAGACAGTCATTCATTTATTCATTTAACAAATATTTATTGAGAGCTTGCTATATGTATCAGACATTGTGCTAGATTCTGGATATACAGTCATGAATAAGAAGAATTGAGTACCACATTTTAAAAATGTATTAAAGCTTCCAGGAATAGATCTCTGTTTTTACAATATGTGGCCTTGGAATAGTATTCTTGAGATACAGAAAACAAGGAACTGCCTCCCTGCTGGGACTGGAGACTGTGCCATCACAGGGGCCCATTACAGGTTATAGGAAAGAGAAGGGATTACACACCGTCTTACAGCTTAAGGCCCAGACCAGTCTTCCTCTATTTAGTATGTGGGATGCCACCACAGCATGGCCTCATGTATGGTGTGTAGGTCCGTGCCCTGGATCCAGACTCGTGAATCCTGGGCTGCCAAAGTGGAGTGGGCAAACTTAAGGACTACGTCACTGGGCCAACCCCAACCCATCTGTTGTTTCTAAAAAAATATTAAAATAATTTTGTTTGTCTTAAATGTTAAAATATGAAAACAGTACTAAGGAAAGCCTATTCTTCTACAAGATGTAAAGTTTTAAGGTGTTTGTAGTATAGATGAGGAAAATAAATGATTATTTATTTTTACAACCTCTTCAGTTTATTTTATAACCCACAAGAAAGAGTAATGAGCAAATAGCAGGTACTTTTTATCTTACATCTCACATTATTATCTCATTAAACCCATGAAGTAGTTATTCCTTCCCTTCAAATGAAGAGATGAGTTTCAGAGAACTTAATTTTGTAAATTTATATAGCTAACAAGTAGCATAGTTAATATTTAAGGCTTGTGCTCTTTCCATGAGAATGAATAGCATATTGGAATTTTCAAATCCCTATAATTATGAGTACAATAACAGTAACTGTCATTTTAAATAGGATTTACTTTAATGTTGCCATTCCTGGTGAATATTCATTACCTTACAAGTGAGAAGAAAGTTTATGTAGAACAGTGTACCAGCCAGCGATGATTAGAGTACTTGTTGTCGCACAATGTCAGTTCTTGTGGTGGTCATTAAGCTAATTATCTTTATTGGAAGAGAGAGGATTAGCAATTTGGAATGCCCTCTGCATTGTGACAAGTCTCAGGTAAGAATTTAATTTCTGACAGTGGTTTAAAAGAGATTTTCATCTGCCTTCAACATGTCTGTGGTCTCTGGACCCAGTTTAAACTTGGCCAAGACCAAATCTCAATGCATGAAGGCAAAGGTAGGTTTGTACTTACGGGAGACAAATTGCGATCTAGCCAACAATAGACAAATGAAGCCCGAAGCACGATTTTCCTGTTGACAACAGGTAGGTTGAGTGCCATCCAGTTGGAGGTTTTCGTGTTTTGTTGGTTGTCACAGAAAGAGACTTGCTGGTAGCCAATCTGAAGGCTTTTGGACAGTCCTGGCACTCGGTTTGTGTCAGCTGATCAGGGTTTATGAAGGGTTGGATAGCTGTCTTAGGATGCTTTCAGAAGCTTATGGTAAGCTGCCCCCACTGGTATGACACTCAAGGCAGAAATTGGTCTTTAAGTCTTGGAGAAAAACATCAGTATCGAGAAACTATTAAATAGAGTTGACCTCTTAGAGTAGAAGGCATGGCTATATGTAACCTGGCCCTTGACATCAGAACTTAATTAGGCCCCTTCCAGCAAGGTTGAGTGATCCAGACACTGGGTGTGGCCTAGTGACACGATCTGTCCGGATCAGCTGGTAGGATTTCTCGTCTCTGCAAATGGGATGCTTTGACCCACTTTACTAATGCTTTGTAATAATCTAGCAGCACAACACTGTTTCGTATGAGCATCTCATGGTAGGTCTCTACTGGGGTAGTAACTGGTATCACGTAGGCCTGCCACTGATATTTCAAGTGAGAAGAATTGTAGTATTCTATGTGTTGTCTGTCTGTCTGTTCTATATGTCTATATGTCTGTATGTTCTATATGTGTCGTGTTAATAAGGGTTGAGTATTTGCCCTCTCTGATCTGGTTTCTGCACAAACCTTAGCCATTTTCTTTTTCAGAGTTCCATCAATAAAGGAGTCTAACAATCATTAATTAATTTTTCACAGTTGCTCAACAATATTATTAGAGCTGCCTTTTATGTTAGGCTTATAATGTGAGAAAAGCTGTCAGGACAAAGCAGCTAAAACTTTTCTCTTGGGGACCTTTTGTAAGAATCCAGGGTTTTTTCTGTGCGTGTACAGGTGAAGTGTTGTTCGTGTGATGATGTTTTAGATTGTATCTCTTTTCAGCATAAGTTGAAGCATGCGCACCAGGAAGGACTGACATGACTATCCTCCCAATGACTGTTGAAAAACTTCTAAAAGATTTTAACCTGAGGTTTAACACAATATGATCAAGATACACACTTGACAGGATAGATTGTAAAGAAAGATTTTTCAAGTCTTTAGATTCATCAATGCCTTCACTGCCCACGTCATCCAGAATTAGCGGGGGTAGTGAAATGTACTGTTCACAAGTGAAAAGACATATGTACAAGGATATTTATTACACATTGTAAGTTCAAAAGATTGGAAACGATCCAAATGTGCAGTTAGAGACTGGTAGAAATGAGTTATGAAATATATCGCACAGTAGAATGTCATGCAACGATGAAAAAAATGAATCAGCTCTACATGTAACAGTACGCACTGAACTCCAAATTTTATTCAGTGGGAAAAGCCAGATCTGGAAGGGTATGCATGTATGTAAAATGTCACTCTGTGTGTGTATGTGTATGTGTGGACACGCATGCATTTAAAACTCAAAAGACCATATATTTGTTGTATGTGCAGAGAATATCTCTGGAGAGATACGCAGAAGTTGACAAATATTTATTTGCCTTCAGGAAGGGAACTCAGTAGCTGCGGGTAGGCTTAGGAGGGAAATA